GCTGATTTTCCAATTCTCTTTTTGTCTACTTACACTTCTCTTAGAAATTCTGATTTTCATCAGGCAAACCATTTAAAGCCCGACACTCCTCTTAAAATTCTCCTTACCCCTCTTAACTTTTTGTCTCTTTCTCAAACAGACACATAATACCAGTGATTCACCATTTTGTACATTTAGATATGAATAAGTTTTGCAAAGGACCCACTTGTGTAATGGTTCGTAGCAATTGCCCCCTAAACAAGGTTCTATGTTTAAGTCCTAAGAGTATCTCCACCCATAAGGGCTAAGTCTAGGACAAGGGTAAACAAGGGCTGTCAATACTCACATGAATAGTGGCAGCCTTACCTTTTTTGATTCCACCCCAAAAGACTAGGACAATGGCAAATACTATTCATTTTACTTTATTTTCTATTTTTTTTTTATACTTAAACCATTAATTTTGATGAGCTTTTTAGATTATATTTTCGGTTGTCACTATTTATTATAAAATTCTCACTTAAAATTTAAGATAACATTTTTTGGATAAAATTTTCAAATAAAATTTTCGGTTGCCATGTGTCCATATTTATTATAAAATTCAGATCTTACTCATCATACAATTGAAATACCTACTCACTCATCATACAATTGAAATATTCTTGGTCCTCATAGTCTGACACAATGGAATACAAGGACAACTCTATCATTGGTGGAGGCGGTTCCACCGGATCACGACGTGGGAGAGTATTTTCCTTCGGAGGACGTAATAGTGTCATTATTTCCATATTTATTATAAAATTCACATCTCACTCATCATACAATTGAAATACCTACTCACTCATCATACAATTGAAATATTCTTGGTCCTCATAGTCCGACACAATGGAATACAAGGACAACTCCATCATTGGAGGAAGGCGGTTCCACCGGATCACGACATGGGGGAGTATTTTCCTTCGGAGGACGTAATAGTGCCATTATTTCTGACACGAAACGCACAATTGGAACTGACTGCAGGCATTGTTCACTTGAGGAGCCATGTGTAATGGTTTTCCTCTTTTTTGTTTTGCCTTGACTAATCTATTAAAAAAAAAAAGAAATTGGAAATGCAAGAAATATATATATATATATATATAAAAAGACATTAAATTGAATAAAACGGATTTATTTTTTATTTTTTTTTACCTCATTGCCAAGATTTTGACCTCTTCGTCCACGACCCTCCGGCTTCGATGGAAGATGACATTTGTATTTTTGCACAAATGAAATTTTGTAGTACAAAATTTGGTGTGGAAAGTGAAAAATATTGGAAGGAGATGAGTTTTTATGAAGATTTGGTGTAGAAAGTGAATAAAATGGTTAGGTATTTATAGGGAAAAAATACAGAATTTTTTGGTATTTAAAAAAAAAAATTCAGAATTTTTCAGAATTTTTTCGAATTTTTTTGGCAAAAAAAAAAAAAAAAAATTGTTTTTACGTTAAAAAAAAAAAAAAAAGGAGCCCGAAAAATTTTCAGAAAAAAAAATTCAAAGCGCCCCTGTCGCGACACGTGGCACTTTACCGTTGGATTCTGCCAACGCTGACGTCAGCGCGAGGAAATCAAATTTTTTTTACCGTTGGCGCGTGTAATTCACGCGCCAACAGTAAAAAAAATCTGTTTTACTGTGCGCTGACGTCAGCGTGATGCCAGCACTGACGTCACAAAACTCGGGCTTCAGCCCAGGCAGAAGTTGCCCTTGGGCTTGCTCGGGCTGGTGGGACCCACCACGAAACCGGGCTGCTTCTCTTGCGCTGGAGCCATCTCGGGCTCGCCAGGGGGCCCTTTCCCCCAGTTTGGGTCCTGCGCTGGACCTGCTCTTATAAATCATGTCAAAATTAGATTGATGAATGTCCAGTTATCTCTTTAGATGGTTATACAGTACCAAATTGAAAATCTCTCCCTTATCATGTCTAGACTAAGTTTCCTATCTGCTGCGTTCCTCATTCACCTTCCTCTTCTTCTTCTTCTTCTTCCTTCCTCTTCTTCTCAAACAACTTCCCTTGCAGCTAATAAAGACAATATCTCTGATTGTACCCGTTCTTGTGGAAATATTAACATAAGCTATCCATTCCGATTGAAAGGAGACTCTAAACACTGTGGCATCGAAAGTTACGAGCTATCTTGCGAGGCAAATGGAAATGGTCTTACTCATCATGCAGTACTATACTTGTTTTCAGGAAAGTATTATGTACTTGAAATCGATTACAATAACTTAACAATCCGACTTGTGGATGCTGGTGTTCACAAGATCAGTGACAACTACTTCTCGCACCCTCACTACTCGTTGACCAGATTCAACATTTCTTATAATTCTCCATACAGCCATGATTATTATCTATTATCGTTATTTGACCCAACAAAAAATCAATCATTGTTACCGATGCTTATAATTTTCCTGAGCTGTGAAAATCCAATGAATTCTTCTGCTTTCATTGTTGAAACAGCTCCATGCATCGATGGGATCAGCAGCTATTCTTCTTCTAATTCTTCTTTGTCCAGTTTAAGAACTTATTCTTATCTCATGGTTGGACACAATACGGCACAGAGTTTGGGAAAGACCTGCAAAATAACACTAATGGTCATGGTGTCCCCTTCAACTGAGGAAACCATGACGTCCTGCAAAGGAATATATAATGAAATAGCGCATGGCTTTAAACTCTCATGGCGTAATTATCCATGTGTAGCAAAGTGCGGATCAGTCGATTATTGCATCGGAGAAGGCACTACTATCAACTGCAAATCACGAGGTTAGACTTGCCAAACCTGAAAATTATCTATTATATAT